ATGTCAGTGCTATAAATGTCGCAGCATTGCAAATTTGCCCCGGGGAGACAGTTACATATTTAGTTGCAGACAAAATGTCAGACGCCGATGAAATTGATCGAACCATCACAAATCGATTTCCTAATGAGTATTTGAACTCTTTGAATCCTTCAAGTTTTCCACCTTTCTTGTTAGAGCTGAAAGTGGGTTATTCAATAATGTTGTTGAGAAATATTGCACTGAAAGATGGTCTTTGTAATAGGACGCGATTGATGATTGTCAGATGTGGTGTGCGTGTAATTGAAGCTAGAATATTAAATGGAGATAAATCTGATAACTTGGTCTTCATTCCAAGAATATCTTTGGCACCGACAACTTCTGAATTGCCCTTTCAAATGACTAGACGTCAATTTCCTATCCGGTTAACATATGATATGACAATTAATAAGTCTTAAGGACAATTTGTAAAATTTGTTGGGGTTGATTTGCGAACACCAGTCTTTAGTCATGGACATCTATATGTTGCACTATCTAGATGCAAATCTTCTGATTGTTTACACGTTCTTCTCCCTGAAAATGGGTCGAACTGCACGACAAATATTGTGTACCCTGAAGTTTTGTTATAATGGTCCGTATTCTACAAGGACGAAATGGTATAAATTACTTGCAAGTTTATTTCTGTTGATTGCAAACATTATAAAATGTTATTTTATTGATCAAATATTTTATTTCATCTATAGAATTGGAATGAAGAAGTGCAGGAGTTAAAAAGAATAAATGCAACCCATATTTTTTGATGGGAATGTTTGAATAAGGTAACTAAATTTATTTGTTATAGTTTATTTTTTATTTTCAAATTTACAAGTTTAAAATCCCTGTCGTGTACTAAATTTAACTGGTTTTGTAAATGCTAGATTGTTGTACATTCCCCAAGTTGGAAGATGCGGATTTGGATTGATACAATGACATTCAAGGCTGTGAAGGAGAGAGAGTACTTACAATGATGTGCAGATAATCCGCATTTTGATGAATTAGATTCAAGAGTAACCCATTTTGTAAATGTACTATATATTATTACATTTTGTGGTCTATGTTTCACTAAACTCGTGACATTGCGTGTTTAAAAACTATGTACAGTGTCTTCAAACACATGATATATGGTAAGTTAGGTTGTGTCCGAGAATAATGCTTGGTTATTTCGCGTTTAAATTCAATGTTCGATTTTTTTTAGTTGTACTGTGCTTTCAGGCACGGGTTATTCCTATATTTCGGATTTACAATTGTTTTATTTTTCCTGACATATTTCGATAATTGATTATATTTTAAATATTTTCAAGTATACATGGAAAGATATGAAGATGAAGTTGAAGGTGTTTTTTTATTTGTGCATGTGTGTATTTTTTGTTTTCTGTTTTTTGTATAGTTAACTAATTATACATGGTTATGATGGTTTTGTTTTTGTAGTTTGAATAAACATGGTTATGATGATTGTGGTGACATGTATAATTGTAAGTTTTATAGACAGGTTTAGATTTTCTTGGACTTCTATTTTTAGAGGAAATTCTGCCCAAATTTCTTGAAATTAGTAGGGATTAGGTTTATGTTTTTGTGGTTTGGATATGTGTTGATGATTGAGTATGTATTGATTATTGTGGTGGTATGGTGAATTATTGTAAGTTTTATAGACAGGTTTAGATATTTTTGGACTTCTATTTTTAGATAAAATTCTGCCCAAATTTCTTGAAATTAATAGAGATTAACTTAATGTTTTGGTGGTTGGATATGTTTTGATGATTGGGTATATATTGATTATTGTGATGGTATGGTGAATTATTGTAAGTTTTATTGACAAGTTTATATTTTTTTGAACTTTTATTTTTAGAGAAAACTCTGCCCAAATTTCTTGAAATTAGTAGGAATTAGCTTGATGTTTTGGTGGTTGTATGGTGAATTATGATGATTGTAAGTTCCATAGACAGAGTTACATTTTTATGGATTCTTATTTTTAGAGAAAATTTATGGATATTTGTATAGTCTACCTTGATTTCAAATTGACAGGTTGTTTTAGGTTATAAAGAGTCTTTAGGTAATGTAGGATTTTTCGATTTTTAGGTTGCATGACACTACCTTGATTTCGTTATGTCATGCCTTCAAACACGGACAATTACTAGTCCATAAATATAATGGACAACAAAAATCTCCTAAAAAAAAAAAATAAATCAAACCGGCAACAACAAAGCTTTTTTCCTGATCTGCGTCTGCCCCCCTTCTGTTCGTTCACCAGCCGCCCTTCTGCCTTTTCTTCCTGCCGCCCAAGCCTTTGTTTATTTCTCCCAGCCTTTCACACACAAAAGAAAAGCAAGAAGATCTTATAAAAGTCGAACCCTTTTCTCGATAAAAGTCATTTTCATTCCTTTTTAACTCTAATATTTTTACTTTAACCTCTAAAATCCACATCTTATGTAATTTGAGAAAAATAAAGCCCAATAAAAATTATGAGTGTTGAGCCTAATAGACAACCGTATTACTTTCAGCATTTTTACTTCATGGACTGTCATCAAAATAAAAACAAATATAAAAGTCGAATAATAAAGTCCAAAAAAATATTAAGTGTAAAGTTCAATTATAAATTATATCTCACCAACCAATAATGCAATATTTAAGATTTAAAATATTATAAAATTATGCTCAAATATATCTCAGTGTGAATAAATATTAAATTCAATATTATAAATTATATCTAATTATTTATATTCACATTTTAACATTTTAATTCAATAATATAGTATTTAGAATGCAGTTTCGCGCACTCATTAGTGCCCCTTTCTCTCCTCACCGAAACCCTCTCTCTTCACAGCAACACTATAGAGACACCATCGGAGACACAGTGAGCAACCATCGACAATCTTGAAGCCTCACCCAAGTATCCCCCTTTCTCTCTCTATACGTATATAACCCCTACTGCAACCACCCCTTCCTTCCCTCTCTCCTTTGTCATCGAAACTCATAACAGCCCACCAAATACCCTATATATCCAAAGTCAAACTTTTACCTGCAACTAACTAGCACCTCCACCCCCATTCCTTTCCAGTCCCCATCACTGTCACCGAAACCTCCCTAACCAACAAACGCCTTCCCACCCCCACAAGCACACATTGCTATCGAAACAATCACCAAAACACCAAGTGTTTGTATTATTGCTTCAATGAGCGGGCCAAACATTATCCTTACTTTTTAGTGAACTTACTTTTTCTGCTGCAGCGACCATTTATAGCACGAAGGTGCAGCTCCAGTGATCAGCAATAACACAACTCTAGCAGGATGATGATCTCCTAAAAAAGCGATTGATTGGTTTGGATTTGTTATTTTTTTAGTTTTACATATTTTTAGGTTATTTACAATTTTTTTTCTGTACGTTGTAGGATATGAGGATCTAAGATTGGTTCAAGCTAAATGATCCTTTGTAAACAAGGATGAGTTTATTTTATTTCTGGTGTTTGTTTTGTCCAAAAACTGCAAAGAATTCCGGAAGAACCAATGAGCCTTTTTGATCAAGAGTCAAGCCTTTTATTTTTTTTGGCACATTTGGGAATGGTTTGCATCAAAAGAAAGCAAAAATGACAGGAACCACTGTGAGATATATGCACAATGTTTAATGAGTTCTCCATACTGTTATTCAAGGTTCTTTAGGTTGTAATGTCTATATTTTTAAATATTATTTTCTCTCTAAAAAATTTTAAATATTGACTCCAATTTAATGTTTTGTACATATTCATAAATTTTGCAAGTTATACACTATTCCTGCAGTATACTGAAATTCAACTTGATTTGTTGTCAATTTGATATATTATTTGGCTTGGATTGTAATTAAAGTAAGTTCGTCTTGTTGAAGTGATATCGATAGTTGTTGAAGATATGTTTTAGATTTGGAAGTGATAATGATGATGGTCTTAGTGATGATAGTTAATCTTGAAGTTGTGATGGATGGGTGGTGGGTGGATAAAGCTATTGGGACAAATTTGTACAACATAAAATTAACTTAGTTGATGAAAGTTGGTTTGAATTGAATTGCAAAATTAATTTAAATAGTTGACTTGGTTAGATTTAATTTTAATTTGAGCACAAAATTTGATTAGTTATCAAAATTTAGGCTAACTGGTAATAATGGTAATGACAATATTAATGGTAATAGTTCTGTATAATTGTGTTTTTAGAAAATTTTGATTGAATTCTTTGTGGGACTCAAATTTTATGTATTTAGTTTCTCAATTTGATAATGTTAGCGTAGTTGGATTTAATCATGAAAATTTGATCAAGACCAGTTTCCATTGATGACATGCTATCTCTCTACGAATATGTTTTAGTATAATATATGAAAAACATCTATACTTGATAAGAGTTGCACATTTTCATATTTTTGTAAGATTTTATTTTTAGAGAGAATTTAGCCGTAATCGTTTGAAAGAATAGAAAAAAAAAATTATATTTAGAGGCACGAGCATTCTCTAAACTATCAACATACTGTGAGAACAAAAAGTGTAATTTAACCCGATAGAATGTTAAAAATTTAGTTTTAATTGATTTAGATTTTGTTGATGTTGTTTATTATATTTTTTGTTGCAATTCATCTCTTAATCCCCCTTCCTTACTTGCTATCTCATATTTATTTGATTGTTTTCATACCACAATAATTTTGAATTTACTACCATTTGGATATCAATTAATAATTAAACAGTCATTGAAAAATATTTGAGTTTGTTTTTATTTATATTCTATCAATTTTTTTAAAAAAATAATGGGTCCATATTATATTTATTAATATTTTTTTTAATTTTTTTTATTAATAATTTTTTATGACATACAAGCTCTTAATATACATATATTTTTTTGTTTGTTACGTAGTCACGAGAAATTACTAATAAATTTATAAAATAATACTAGTTGGGTGTCTTTATGAGACTAGTTGAGGGCAGTCTAACGGGTCTTCTAAAGCCTAATAAAGGTGGAGTTTTTTTTTATTTGACACACAGATATAACAGTGCGGGTGGGGAGGTGGAAGAGGGAGAGAACGACTATGAATCTGTCTGCAACTCAAACACCTCCTTCGACGATCTACACTTGTCTGTCCAAATCCGCCTCACCTAACAACAATCGCAATCGGCGACTCCTGGAAATTCGGCCACTGCGATACGCGAGCACCAAGGATAAAACTGGGATGGGGATTGCTGCGCTTACTGCTACAACCATGAGGGACAGAAGCAAGAATCGAAAGCCCCTACAGAGGGGTAGGAATCTCAGCATCGAAGCCATCCAAACTGTTCAGGCACTGAAACGAGCCAACAACAACAACAACGATGTTGACAAGGAGTCGTCATTGGAGCATGTCTTCGATTCCAAAGTTAGACGTTTGTTGAAGTTGGATATGATTGCCGTTCTCCGCGAACTTCTCCGCCAGAACGAATGCCTTTTGGCCCTTAAGGTTCGCCTCCCCCTTTTTTTTCAATCTCCAGTAATTTTTTAACGTACTTCAATCTGCTTCTGAATTCTGACTGACCAAACTTATGAAACGGTTCCTAATTCTACTCTGTTTATATCTGATCTGTCGATTGTGCAATTACCCACTGCTCTGCTTTTCCATTTTTTCCCCATTTGTTGTTCTGTTTTGGGGATGCTTTTTCTCTGTTTTCTATGCTTTGCTTACACTTAAATTTGTTTCCCCAAACAAATTGGCCTTTTATTTATTGCTTCCTTCTTCAATCATCTCTTTGCTCCGAATTTAGTCGGTAAGGCTTCCCTGAACCGTAATTAATGATTTACCAAAAAAAAAAGTTTAGCAGAGTGCTATTGTTGTGTGTTGCATTCTTTCTCTACCATGTGAGCCCATTTCTTGGCTTCACCAGCTTTGTATCCAGTACGTTCTTGCCAATGTAGGAATTTGCGGAACAAAACTTATAAATTTGTTGATGAATGGGGAGCTAACTTTTCGGAATTAAAAATTCTCTTTTACATGAAAGCAGTAGAGTTGGTTTCCATCGATGTGTTTTCTCTCAAATTGGGTGTTTTATGGTGTATGCTCTCTGAGTACTGAGAACCTTATTTATAAGTGAAGATTTATCAACTAGTCGTTATCACTCCATATAATATCCTCAACTCCCCCCACATTTTCTCAACTCTACCGATATTTCCTGAACCCTCCGTAGTCAAAAAAAGGTTATTTATACTCTAAATAAGATTAACTAGTCTTTCACTACTTGATGGATCCCTCTAGCCAAGTCACTCATACGGACTAGAAAAGATCCAATCCAAACATCTAATTATATTAATGTAATATATATGTATGCATGCATTATTATAAAATAATATTTAATATATAATAATTTGATAAAAAATGCATCTATGATATATGCAATATTTAAACAACGGACTAAAGTTTTATATATTCCAAATTTGACCACTAACTGTGACTTAATTAATATCGAAAAATTTTAGTCACATATTCCAACAGCCAAAGGCTTGGATGTGAGAACTAGAAACCCGAGACTTTGAACTTACAAATGTACCTGTAGCCCTTTGCTTGCTACTAAATAATACTCCCTTTGTGTCATTTGAAGGTTTTGTGTCTTATCTTATAGTATACCAATATGAGTGTTTGTAGTATTGGGACTGTCCAAATAATGGAAGATTAAAATCTGAGGGCTATAGTAATTAGGTTTTGGCACAACCACAGCCAGAAAAAAAAAGTTACATGACTTCTAGCTTGTAACCCTCCTTTTTTTTAACAAGCAACTCCCACATTAGGTTTGTGTTGCAGTAAAATTGAAAATATGTTGTATTTGTTTATGGAGGGATGTCCTGCAATTTCATATTAAAGGCAGGTCAAAGTAGGAAGGGAAAAGGGGAATAGGAAGAGAGGGAAGCGGATCTTGAAGCAGCTTCTTGGTTATTTTAAATATGCAGCATATAGAGAATGATGTCTTGTGCCCAAGTTAATCACTATTACATGGTCCTCTTTTATATATGGACCTACTTGCATGATGTTTTTCTTTTCTGCACTGAGCAGAGATAAAATGAAGGATTTTGCCACACTTGAGAGATATAAATTCAGGGTTTACAGAAAAAATGTTTACTTATCATGGCCAAGTCATATGAAAATATGAGTAATAAACAACCAAGGCTTGTCAAGGCCTACAAATTTATGGCTGTTTATTGTCTTCCTTTCAGTCTGAAAATAAATACTCTTGTGATTGTCACGGATGTCCCTATAAAAACCTGGTTTGTCATTGACATCGTGTCTGTAATTCATTCCCTGATCTAGGTTTTTGAGGATATCCGGAAGGAGTACTGGTATAAGCCTCAAGTCTCAGTGTATGCAGAAATTATTACAGCTTTGGGAAGCAATAGGTTGCTCAAAAAGGTAGACTGTCTCTTCATTGAATTGAAAAGGGAAAGTAGTTTAGAGCCTGATATTCAGTGCTTTAATGCACTGTTTGAAAGTTTGTTGACTTTTAACAGCACTAAACTAGCAATGGAGGCCTTCTATTTTATGAAATCAATAGGGGGTGAGCCTGATAAGTCAACCTTCACAATACTGATAAAAGGTTTGGAATCAAATGGAGAAACAAGTGTTTCAGCTATTTTAAGGAGGGAAGCTCAGAAATACTATGGTGAATCTCTAAGTCTTCTAGATGAGGAAGAAGAGATGGCAATGAGCTAAAGGGACTCTTTTGGGTAGTGTATGATATTGTCAAGGTTACGTCAGATATCATGCAATTGCATGCTGAACAGTCCTCAGAATGTGGAATCATAGCAAGACCAATTGGGAAGGAGCTTTTTCATGCAAGGCACCTTTTGTCAAAGTATGCTGAATGTTGAAGAGTCTCTCACACTGTCCATGTGATTGCAAATGTTGGCATGCCGTTTCTCAGTTGTTCTGGCAGAAGATTTCAGATTCCATGACATTATGCAGGGCTAATCTATTGATTAACAGCTCTTACAAACATATAGCCCCAAGTCACCACATTAGCACTTACCTGTTGCCTTCTTTTCACAATATGTCTAATTTTTGTATGTCATGCTAAATAGGAGATTATATCTCACAGGAAATAACATTATTCCTTGTTACATTCACTGAAATGGTACAAGCTAGCTTTGTTGTTTACAGTTTATTGCTTACATTTATGGTTCTGGTAAGCAGAACTATGGGTTTTGGCCTCACCTCATTTTGGCTGTAGCCATTATATTTGATAAATTGATTTATATAAATTCTTCAGATGTCTTTTACTGAAACGATAAAAAATTACAAAGTGACATCATCATACTTGTACAATTATTTGATGAAAAATGAAAAAATGAGAAAATATGACAGGGTGATGACTCATGGGAGTGGCTAAATCCACCCCATGTTTTGCTTATCTGCTTGCCATAAATTACCCAAATAATCTATAAGTGGACAAAAATAGCCTTTTTCTTATCTAATTCTTCCTCTCTCTTCCTCTGATCTCACTCTCTTCTAAACCCTCATTAGCAGAATATGCATACCAATGTCAATGGTATGTCCATGGCTGGAGATAGGTAAGATATGTTGGACCTCTGATCTCACTTTCTTCTAAACCCTCATTACCAGAATATACGTACCAATGTCTACGGCTGGAGATAGGTAAGATATTTTGGAGTAACAACAATCACTTGAATTGTTGTGTGGTAGTGGGCATTATGTGTGTGGCATTAAGAAGTTGACATAGAAATATTGTAGTGATGGTGTGAAACCTACCCAGGAGAACCAAGAAAAATGAGAGAGATATTTGGTGGGAGACACATGAACAACATAGTAGACAGAGAGGATTAAGGAGAAGGGTGAACTGGGTCGATATGTTACAATGCATTTGGCTTAACAGGGCAGTTTTGTGTAGAAAGAATTTGGCGAATGGAGAAGGAATATAGGGGTGTGTTTAAGTGCTCGCTAAAATCATTTTAATAAGGAAAGGGATGCTTTTGACTCTTGCAGTGGAGCAGTCGGTGTAGATTCAATTGTCCTGTGGTTTAAAGTTACCGATTGGGAATGCACGGATTTTGAATCTATTATGACTAGTGGGGACATCAGTTTACCTCTCTTTTTACGAAGATCAAGCATGTTGATTACATATAGAGTTCTAGTTTGTCAATAGCTTGCCATCATGACTTAAACTGAATTGATCAGATTTTCATGGACTCACAAGAGCACCATGTCTCTTGAATTGGTAATCTTTTTGATAATTAATATTGCAAAACTAAAGACGGGGGCTCATGAAGAATACAGAAATGATAATTCTAATGTAGCAGAATAGTTAAAATGTGAGGAAGGCATACGTTTACCTTTGCAGTAACAACTACATATTGCATCATTATGTATATTCTCTTCTCATTGTATCATGTGAAGTCCAAACTGGGATCTCAATTTGTGTTTTTTTAACTTCTTCAATTTTCTCGTATTATTTGACAATGATCTTAACTTTACTGAATGTCCAGTACTTTGGATGTTTGAAAATGGATTCTTTAGAATGTGCATACCTTTCTTCCCTTGATTATATCTGCCTTGACTTCCAAAAAATTGCAACACTAGAACTGTTTCCCTCCAAATGTCTGACCGAATCTCCAATTTGCTGGAGCGACATTGTAAGAAGTGACTGTTCTTCCGCTGGTAGTCGTCACCTCGAAAGAGAGGGGCTGCCCTGCAAGGTTGACATTGCATTGCCAGTTCTGTCCCCAGTTCCTTCCCATAGGTATCCACCCTGTCTTTGATCCCTTGACTTTCACAGCAACCACCTCTCCATCCAACCCAACATTAGTGATCAGGACTTGGTAGAAGTAAACACTCCCATTTAGTGTAAATCTGATCCCCCCTACTTTCTTACACTTGGTCCTGCACAAGAATCACATGTATTCTACCCTCCTCAGTGCAAGTTATGAGAAAACAGACTGGAACTATATGAGCTTTTCTCATGTAAGTAACACAGTTTGATTTGTTACCTTCTGTATTGAACTGGTACTATATCTGCTTTTCTCTCAGCGATTTCAGAAAACGCAGCCTCAGACATCTCGAAGTGCCGACTAGGGAAATTGCACCACCCACCGTAATCAGATGGAAGCCCATAGTTTGGGGGACAGAAATCAGTAGCCGTAAGAATAACGGATGGGCTCCCCTGCAGGCACCATAGTATGTGGTCAACACATCTCACCTCAAAGCAGCCTCCGCAGGTGCTTCCTCTGTTGAACAACATGCTACTCAGCCCAGCACTGTATTTGCCATAGCTGGTCTTGTGAAGGTCTCCATAACCACAAGCACCTTCTGCAATACAACAATAGATAACAGTAAACTATAGAGAACTCACTGAGGAAAACTGGAAATTGCTATAAAAAGAAAGAAAGCTTTATACATTCGTTACTACATTCTGACAGGGTGAGAGTAGATGCAGAGAGAAGTACCAGTGATGATGGAATCATCTCTTTGTTTAGTGTATGTTGCAGTAGCTGACTTCCATTCACCATCTTGGGCAGTAATACTGCATGTCTGCAATAAAATGAAGCAAATAACTGTGGCTTGAAGGGCACCCATTTGCAAAAATGGCCTCTGTGATGCTGTTTTGAATGCGAATGGAGAGGGTTAAGTCCCTTCCCTTGCCGTTCTTTTCTTTCCCGCCTTTTTCCTTCTCTTTTTGACTCAGGAATATAGAGGGCTGGACGATGGAAGAAAGAGGGGAAAACGATAAAAACCAAAGGCCTCAACTTTTTTTTTTTTTTTATCTATTTGGTTGATGCCTCAATCTCCTTTCCTAGCTGAAGCTAGACCAGAGGATGGATTAAGGAATACTGTATTGGAAAAAAAAAAAGAAAGAAAGATGGGACAGTAGCCGACAGACAAGTATTTAAGTTCACATTTATGGATCGCCTGATACTTGTTCATCTTTTCGTCCTCCTGATGAGTCATGGAGCACGGAAACAGAGAATCAAAAGGGGTTGGTGTCTGCACTAGGCTCCATTCTAGTTTCCAGATGGAGGGGGAGGGGGATGGGGGCGGGGAGAGAGAGAGAGAGAATAAAGGTTTTTGGAATAGTGTTATGTATTTTAAATTTATAATTCAAATTTATATTTTAAATTAGGAGGATTATTAGATTAGTGAGTCTCATCAATTTTGTTAAATGAGATTCACTAATTTAATGATCTTTCTTAATTTGAAATATAAATTTAAATTATAAATTTAAAATACATATCATTATTTTTTTTATAATTTTTGTTGGAAGCAGCAGAGTGAGTAGTAGTGGTATGGTTTTTGTTGGAAGCAGTAGAGTGAGTAATAGTGGCAGACAGGAGGGACGCGGATTGCCATAAAATAAGGGTCCAAAGGACTTTGTAAAAGAGCTTTTGGACTTCCCTTGCCGAAACGCTCAGTTTTGGCTCTTCTTTTGAGGAGAAAAATCCTAAGCTGTGGGTGGTGGAGAGTTCTTTTTACTGTGGTACTGCATGAGTATTGTTTGGCTGGTTGTGGAGTCGAGAGTATTCTTTCTTTAATCGCTTCTTCATGGAGATTGGCTGGTCCTTTTGTCTGGATTCGGATTGGCTGATCCTTTCGTCTGGATTCGGGGCAGAGAAAAATTGACAGAGACACAGAGAGAGAATTAACCAACGCTATGGAGGAGTGTCAAAGATTATCGAACCTCTTGAATCGGTAATGCTAATATTGCTTATTTTACCATTGCTCTAAGCAATAACCATCAACATATTCTATGTAAAATTTCACTCCCTACAGTTGCCTGATATTTTAGCTACATCAGTTTTTTTTGGTGAAAGTGAAACTGTTTATTTAGCTGAGTTGTGGAGATTAGCATTGCTCTAAGCAATAACCGTCAACATATCCTATGTGAAATTTCACTCCCTACAGTTGCCTTGATATTTTATCTACATCAGTTTTTTTTGTGAAAGAGAAACTGTTTATTTAGCTGAGTAGTGGGGATGAGTCTGGGGAACGAAATCCCGTAGCATTAGCATTAAGCAATTGGTTAATCTATATCTATATTTATACCTATACAGCTATACTATTTATAAGTGTCAACATCTGCGGAAAATTTGTATTTTTCTAATTTGTATTTTTCTATTTCACTCATAATTATTACCTTAAAGACAATTATTGTACGATCTCAAAATAATATTAAATACTCAAATATCTCACACATACACAAATTAATTAATGAAGAGAAAAAAAAAAAGGAAGAAGATAACTAGACCCTGTTTGGTATGTTTTTTTAGAGGGGTTTGAATTGACTTGTCCAAACCCGGGTTTGACCAAAAATGAAATTCAAAGAAGGGATTCAATATTTCATACACATATTTGGTATGCGCAAGGATATATGATTATTATAATAATATATTTGTATTTAAATTACTATTGTGCCCCTTAACTAATGTAATCCAAACATGAGTATGGATATATTGGGGATATAAATGTCATTTGAATGTGAAACCCCAAACCCACATATGAAACCCACTCCCTGGGTTTCATGACCGGGCTGAATTTCAAACCCTAGGCTAAATTCATAGTTACCAAATATGGGTTTAAGGGCGTTTAGTCCCCAACTCATATTCGAAACCTCCCCCCCCCCCCCCCCCCCAAACCACATATCAAACAGCCCCTAGTGTTCTTGCATCTCTATCCCCTTAAGGTTAAGAATATTGTGGTTATGAAGATTGGTGAGTCGACTATGCTTGGTGTCGTCAACCTGTAAGCTTCTTTTTTCTGTGTTAGGACGTGTTTATTGCTGGTATAATATTTTCTTTACTTTATTTTCCATCTGTTTAGGTTTTTTTTTTTTTTTTCTGTGTAAGCTAGCTTTTTGTAGTTGGACTCTTTTTATTAATTAATAAAAATTTGTTCTTTTCATTTTATTGAGAATCTATATGGACAAAATTGTTTGCATTATATTTAATAAATGGTATGCATGTGTGTCTCATATTTTACATTATATATAATCTAGTGTATAGAGTTTGGCTTATGCACTAAAGACCAAATTATTGGATTTTTATATAATATGAGTATATGTTCACAATCCTAAATGAAATTGGACACACCATTAGTATGATTATAGTGTAATATTCTAACATACTCTGTCTTGACTGTAGAAGACTGTTTGATATATCAGATTATTGCACTAGTACACTTTGTGTATTAAACAAACTCATGTTGAGGTTATTATCTTTTAATGATTCAATAAGATAATAAATACCTCATGATTATTGTGATTGTTTATGCTCTTAATTTCAAAATATTTAATTGTCACGTGCATATAATGTTTGTCACTTTAATTCATCAAAGAGTGTGATTTATTTTGAGTCAATAAACTCGGTGAATTGGGAGACGATGTTATTTGTATGATAAAAATTAATTATTAAAGAAAATCGCATCCTAGTATTTAAATGAGTTGATGATGTCCTCTTGAGGAAGCTTATAAATTTTGTCCATGTCGAACCCTGTAGGTGAATTTAATTATCTGATGTAACAAATAAGTTGAGTAGTAAGGTTTCAAGGAATAAAAGAGGTCAATTAAATATAATTGTCAATAATTTATTTAATTGATGGACATTTGTAATTTTAAACGTAAGAAGATTATTAAGCATATAATAATAAGAAGCTCGAATATAATTTTGAGATAAGACTCAAGATATCAATAATAAGTTTTCAGCAGTATTTTAAAACCCGGCCCAGCCCGCACGGGTTGACCTGGTGAACCGGTACCTAAATTGGGTCAGGTCACCTATTGGATTGTTTATGCATAAAAATCAGAGTAAACTCGATGAACCGAAAAAAATCCGAAAAACCCATCAACTCGAGCGAGTTTAATCAAACCAGCTGATTCATTAAATTTAGTATAAAACAAAGAATTTTGGGCATTTTGCCCTAAATTATTTCCAGTCTCAGCCTCCTTCTTGGCAATTGGTAGAGTGGTGGACAATTGGAGCCTGCGCCTCCTTCTCGCTTACTCTCTCTCTCTGGTCTCTGCACTCGACAGTAGTGTGAACTACAAGCACGAAAGGGAGTAAGCCATCCAATGTGGGACTCGATCGAAGACTTGAAGTGGAAGGAACTTTCGATTTCGAAGGAGAAAGCTGCTTCAAAGCTCCATCGAGGCATCGATGACGACCATTAGGAACTAATAGCAGGTACTTTCATACTCTTTCTCTCTCGATCTATCTGCTCTCTCACTCTTGGTGTATGACTTTGCTACATCTGATTTTTGATTTGTATTTTGTATGCATTGAATCTTTGATAATTAATAATGCTATATTTTATATATTGAATCTTTGATAATTGATAATGTTATATTTCATACCTTAAATGAAGCTTTGATTTTTTATACATTGGTTTTCTTATCCTTTTGCATTATTGAAAATCCAAAGTTGATTGTGATTGTAATTGTGATGGTGATGAAGCCACTAAAAAACCTAGAATTGTGGGCTCTATTTTTGATTATTTTCATTTGTTGATGTAAGAGATTTGCAAACTTAATCTATATTTTTAATAATATTGGGATGTTGATGTTAGAAAATTTTAAAACTTGAATCTAGATATATGGTGATCTTTGATGTTATGGAATGAGATTTTGTTACTAGTTGGGTTTTTTTATTGGTGGTTTTTTGGTTTTGGATGCTCATATCAAAAAATTATTGTAATTTTTTAGTTTATTTATTATTATTTATTAATTTTTATTATTTTACCGGTCCAACCACTGACCCAATGGTTGAACCAGTAACCCATTGACCCGGTCTATTTGTAGGGTTGATGTCCGGGTCGGATTTTAAAACTATGATTTTTAGTAAACTGACTTATTATTAATGTGTTGTGAGATGTTTATTATGGGTTGAACATAGAAATCCTAGGCCCATTGAAAGTTCGATCCTTATTTCTTCTTAGAGTTTCTATCATAGCCTATATATAGACATTTAGACTCTCTAAATCAGCATCTATTTTTTACTCACGTCTTTTAGAGAGGCTAAAAGGGAGAGCAAATGTTCGGCGGTTCTAGTAGCCCAAACTGCATTCGGACTCTGACGTTTGGGGATATACGACAAAAGGCTGCAAGGTTCGTCAAGCTGTCTTCCACGTTTGTTGTTAGGTTTTATGTTTGTGCTGAGACGAGATCAATCTAAAGTGATCTCGAAGGTAAATCCTAATTCTGCCTTGTAGGGCTTTTAAAGGAAAGTTTTTGGTATTCGATACATGCGCGCTATAAATGATTCTTAGGATTTTCGTTCCAACAATACCAATGGAGAAAGAAAAAGGAAAATAAGTTATGATGAATCAAAGATATTGCGTAACTAATGAATACAAATCCTACGGTCGTTGATGAATCTTTATTGCAGAGGTTGATTCCTGTGATGCCCTAGAATTTGGGGGTCGTTTTTCAACCTGTTGATTATCCATCAATTTGCAGCAGAACTTGTGCATGTTGCATAATTGAACACCACGTCATCATACGACCATTTCAAGGTCCAATATCCATCAATTTGCCATCAATACTACTCCATTTACATCATTTGATCAAAAAGGTTCAAGGCCCAAAGGTT